CTGTACGTGGAAACTTGTCAAGTTTGCCAACGAGACAAGCCCCGTACTCAGGCTCCTCTTGGGCTGCTCAAGCCCCTTCCGGTTCCGGAAAGGCCGGGTGAAAGCTTGTCCATGGACTTCATGGATACCCTGGTCACCAGCAAGAGTGGGATGAGGCGGATCTTCGTCATTGTGGATAGGTTTAGTAAGTATGCTAGGTTAATAGCCATGTCGGAAACAGCGAAGACCGAGTATGTAATCAGGCTGTTCAAAGAGAACTGGGTGAGGGATTTTGGATTGCCTAAGTCTATTGTAAGTGACAGGGACCTCAGATTTACAAGTGAGTTATGGAAGGCCGCTGCAGCTGAACAGGGAACTCAACTGCAAATGACTTCTGAAAACCATCCAGAAGCAAACGGCCAGGCTGAACAAATGAACCGCGCTGTTCAACACCTGTTGAGGCATTACATTAAGCCCAATCAGGTGGACTGGGACGAGAAGCTTGCTCTTGTCGCCAGTCTGTACAATAACGCTGTACACAGCGCTACCGGGGTAAGTCCTAACAGTCTACATCTTACCTTTAGGCCTAGACTGCCTTTAGACTTCCTACTTCCTGATAACCAGCCAACTGTTGCACCGGGCACTTTGGAGTTCGCTTATCGTTACGAATAGAAAATGCAGGCAGCAATGATAGAATCTGAGAATAAACACCACCGCCCTTCTACATTTCAGGTTGGGGACAGAGTCTGGGTCAAGTCTTCAGAACTGGGACAGGAGTTCGGGATATCCTGCAAACTCATGCCTCAGTACTTTGGACCTTGGGAAGTTTTAGACGTAGTAGGGACAGATCCTGATGGTCCATCTTATGTCATCCGTATCCCTGGTCATCTCAGAACTTACCCAGTCTTTCACGCCTCTAAGCTCGCTGCGTTCGAGGAAACTGATTAGTTTCCCTCTCTTCGGTCAATGCTGCCCCCAACCATGGACGGAGAAGTCGACATCGATGATATCGTCGACCTCAGGGAGATGCCCGTTCAGAAGCCTCCAGGAAGGGGACGTCCTCCAAAGCCAAAGCTGCAGTTTCGTGTCCACTTCAGACATCACACGGATCCGAAGGAGGACCGTTGGTTTACTCGGGAGGAATTGATGCAGACCGCTCCTCAAATCGTTGCCCGCTATGAGAAGGATGTACTAAAAGGAAAGCGCCAGATGGCTCAGGATTGATCTTCTCAGAGGACTAACGAAGATATTGAGGAGGGAATGCGAGGCTACGCCCGCTCAGCCCTTTTGGGGGCCCTTTTTTTTTTGGCAGCACGTCGGCCGCCCTAAGTGAAGGCAGGCGCGACAGGCCCTCAGGGCCTCGATTTTCAGGGTACCCCGCAACTGGGGAAATTCAGACAGTTGCGCTGTGCCAGTTGGTTGAAGGCGCCCAGGCCCAGGCCATATTTTGCAAATGTATCTGAACGGTGACCTGGTCCAGACGCATGCGGAAGGCCGTAAGCAGGCCAAGGGCAGTTGGGCACATGCAACCATC